CTGTGCCAGGGGAGGCTCAGGTTGGACAGGAGGAGGAATTTCTCCACAGAAAAGGTTGTCAAGCACTGGAAGGTGCTGCCCAAGGAGGTGGTGGAGTCCCCATCCCTGAGGGATTTCCAGCTGTGTGGATGTGGCACTTGGGGACAGGGGTCAGTGGTGGCCTTGGCAGTGCTGAGTCAACAGTTGGACTTGATGATCTTAAAGCTCTTTTCCAGCCTAAACAATTCCATGATTTTAAGCTTATCTGACCACGATTTTTAACAGCCTGTTAGAACAGGGACATCATGAACTTCAGTTCTTTCATTAAGGTCTTTCAGTGGTGGAGCAAAACAGGGTCCTGGAGTCCCTTCTAAGCAGAGGCACTTCTGTGGCAGATCTTGAGTTTGGGACTCACAAAGCAGCTTCTCAGGGAGCTGTCAGACACTAATGGCAAATATGAAGTTTTCAGACATTAAGGGCACAGCTGTGTTTGAAGACTCTCAGTATAAATGCTTGTGGTCCATGAAATTAGGGAAAGATCAGACAGACAAGTGCTTTCTTTACAGGTTGAAGTCCCTTCCAGAAACACTTTCACAACGTTTTTCTGCATTATTTTAGACCTGCTCAGTAAATCAGTTGGGTTTGTAAAGCTGTAGGTGAGCTACAAGAGCTCCAAACCAGAGCTGGCCTTGTAGTTGCATCTATAAACTGGAAAACTTTTTAATTTACTCAAAATTTCTTGTATTTTAGGTCAATCAGGAAGTAGCTGATAGGGAAACCAACACTTTGCCTTTCCATCCATTTGAAAACCAACAAGTAAGTTACCTCTTTGTATTTCTCATGAAGAAGGTTAAAGGAATGCCCCAAAAAATTTAGTAGTTAGAAGGTAAAGTTCTCTGAAAATAGCATATTTTAAGAGGTATTTCTGTATTTTGGGTGGTTTGGTACTGTGTGGTTTGGCCTCTTTCTGTATGTTCTTCATGGAAACTTCACACAGGCCCACAACAGGGAGGGGTTTGAGCTTTGTTCTGTATTTTAGGGAGATTGTATTTCCCTTCCAAAAATCTGGAGGCTTGACAAAACCACTCCATTTGGGCATGCAGACAGTTCAGAGTGGTGTTAATGGCAGGTTTCTGTCTGTGCCAGGAGATAAAAGTGAGAAAACGTGTCATTTTGTCACCTGATTTCTTTCCAGGGAGATATTCTGCGTGTGGAAAAGGAGCATCAGGTGCTGAAAGAACAACTGAAAGAGGCAGAGGAGAAATTTGAGCAGCTGCAGAGCAGAAGTTCAGAGGAAATCAGTGCTTTGGAAGAGCTCCTGAGGAAAAGCGTGGAAGAGACTGAGGTAAAACTTCCATCCTTGGATCAGGGTGTGGAATCCCCGTCCCTGGAAGTGTCCAAGGCCACGTTGGAGCAAGCTGGGATAGTGGAAGGAGTCTCTACCCATGCAGGGGGTGGAATGGGATGATAAAGGTCCCTTCCAACCCCAGTCTGTGATGGATCATAACACAACAACCCCC